ACCGTATATAACACAAGATCGAAGGCTCGCCGGTGCCGTATCCCCTCCTAGCACGGACTAAGTGATACCCACCGTATATAACACAAGATCGAAGGTTAGTATCTCTTACACCGTGCTCATGGAATCTCAGTGCCACGAGAGAGAGAGAGAGAGAGAGAGAGAGAGAGAGAGAGAGAGAGAGAGAGAGAGAGAGAGTTGGATGACAAATGAATGGAACTGGAGAATAATTCGGAAACAGCTAGCCCCAGTCAACCACGGTGCAATATCTCAAAACCAACCCTTTAAACCACAACTAGCTCTGAGGCTCTTTTTGCCGACTAGGAGGCAGAAAAGGACTGCAGGCCAAGCTTTGCCTGAAGCGCAAACGCGGCGTCTGTTTTCTCTTTTAGCTCCCGCTGACAGCCATTTTGGTCCGGTGGTGCCTGGCCTCCGAAGAATGTGGTGGTGAACAGTAGTTTGGTGTTTAAATTTGAGGTTGCCTGTGAAAGGAAGTGGTGGTTTAAAGCAAAAAAAGAAAGCAGGGCAAGGATTAGGGTTTGTTATTTACCAGTCAGGATTTAGGATTTAGGATTTAGGGGTTTTGCAAGGGTTTAGGGTTTACAGTTTAGGATTTAGGGTTTCTGGCGTACGATTTAGGATATACAAGTTTACAGTTTAGGGGGTTTTGCAAGGGTTTAGGGTTTGCGGTTTAGGGTTTGTGTTTTTTTTTCCTTCCCCTTGTATAGAAAAAGAACTATTTTGTTTCTCTATTTCTGTGCGTCATCCTTGCGTCCAGGCCATGCAAATCTTCTGTGTATTGCAGGGACCTGGACCATAGATTCCGGGGATCTGGACCACTGCGAGGATCGATGACCAGGAACACAGTTGTTGGGCAAGCAGAACCTGGACCAGAGATTGCAGGGACCTGAACCATAGATTCCGGGCATCTGGACCGTAGATCATGGGGGACCGATGGCCAGGAACACAGTTGTTGGGCAAGCAGGACCTGGACCACAGATTACAGGGACCTGGGCCATAGGTTCTGGGGATCTGGACCATAGATTCCAGGGATCGATGCCCAGGAACACAGTTGTTGGGCAAGCGGGACATGGACCACAGATTGGAGGGACCTGGACCATAGATTCAGGGGTTCGATGGCCAGGGACACAGTTGTTGGGCAAGCGGGACCTTGCCCGCAGATTGCAGGGACCTGGACCACAGATTCTGGGGATCTGGACCATAGAGTCGAGGGATCTAGACCATAGATTCCAGGGATCGACGGCCAGGAACACAGTCGTTGGGCAAGCGGGACCTCGCCCCTGGAAGGAAAAGGCAAGATGGCCCTCGTCGACGAGCAAAGGAAAAAAATAATTTAAAAGATTTGAGGACCCAAAGAAAACATTGGCGGGAAAAAAAAAACAAAGAGGAACAGAGATTTTAATTCATTTGAAGGACAGTACGAGAAACAATTCTGTTTTGAAATGCTGATCACTCTACAAAGGGAGAAAAAACAAAGGGAAAAAAAGAAAGGCACGTTACAGATTGTTCCCCCCCCAACCCCCACCCCAAAAAAAAGGGGAAAAAAGGGGCCCAATGGGGGATGGGACTTTTCATAACTCAGAGCGGTTCTGTCCCACACCTTCATCTTGCCCGTACATGATGTAACGACCTTCTTCCGTTGACATCAACAGAGCTGGACCCTCATTGCTGCGACTTTGATCTTCTTTGGTGATGTCGCTTGCCCACAGTAAAGCCGGAAGAAATATGGAGCGGCTGCCATAAATAACATAAACACATGGAATGGACGAACATTTCTTTTAAAAAAACGTTAATTCAACTTTAGGGGGGAACACAGTCTTTTCAACGTTTTGTTTGGACCAGATTCACACATTTCCAACAAACGGCAATCACTCGTCGGAATTAAATCATTAAAAATCATTATTATTACGAATTTACGATGAAATTAAATAAAAAAAGAAAGACGAAGCCCAAAACAGGCCAAGCTGGAAGAATTTTGAGCTTCTGATTAAAATTTTGCATTTTCTCATTCAGAACTGAAAAAGGACAAAAACCTAGCAAGACGATTTTTCCACCCGCCCAAAAAAAAATCGTCGGATGACGAGTCGGTGAAACTCCGACGAAACAGTTTGTTTGTCACAGCCCCTCGTTTGTTGTCCTCTTCTCTCTCTCTGCCTACGGTTTACCGGGCAGTTCTGTTTGTGATGATATATATATAGGGTCTTTTTTTTTTCTTTTTTCTTTTTGAGGATTTTTTTTTTTTATGAAAATGAATTACATAGATGATGCACCTGCTGTGAGTGACTGATAGGGAACAAATCGAGAGAGAGGGAAAAAAAAGAAAAAATAAAGTAGAGCGGCGAGGGAGAGGGAAGAAGAGGAGGAGGAGGCAACTCGTAGGGAAGAAATCGAGAGAGAGGAGGGAGGAAAAAAAAGAAAAAAAAAAAGGATTGTTTCTATACATTGTCTCTGCTGACGAAGCTATTCTCTTCTAGACATTTCAAATCGACTTTTTTTCTTTTTTCTTTTTGAGGATTTTTTTTTTTTATGAAAATGAATTACATAGATGATGCACCTGCTGTGAGTGACTGATAGGGAACAAATCGAGAGAGAGGGAAAAAAAAGAAAAAATAAAGTAGAGCGGCGAGGGAGAGGGAAGAAGAGGAGGAGGAGGCAACTCGTAGGGAAGAAATCGAGAGAGAGGAGGGAGGAAAAAAAAGAAAAAAAAAAAGGATTGTTTCTATACATTGTCTCTGCTGACGAAGCTATTCTCTTCTAGACATTTCAAATCGACTTTTTTTCTTTTTTCTTTTTTTCCCCAATGGACTACTCTGCCAAAGAAGCCATTCTCTTATAGACATTTCCAATGGCTAATTCCTGTCTGAAGAGAATTGGCTATTCTCTTATAGACAGTTCCGATGGCTAATAATTCCTGTCTGAAGAGCCTTGGCCGCAGCAGTTTGAGAACAAACACGTGGCTCGCTCTACGTCGCCTATAATCTATGTGGCGACAAATAATCACCGTTTGCTTGATTTATACCTAGTAAATACGGGTCAGTGAGCCAATTACCATCTTCACCCGAATAGAACGCCCAGCCATTATCGCTGTATCTGGACTGGAAGTTCCACCAAATACATATGACCGGACATGTTACGGACTCGGCCAGGGCTCGATCCCTTGTCTGCGGGTTACCACCCGCCAGGCTGCTTTTTTTTTTTTTTTTTTTGAGTCTCTGATCTCCGGTTCCTGGCTGTTGGCGCCCTCTGCAGTTGCGCCTGTTCTCAAATCCCGTTTCTGGCACTTTCGGATTTCGATACTTGGCGCCATCCGGCATTCTGGCGCCCAGGCTCAGACCTTCGATTTCCAGTTCAGCCCCGAGGCAAATTGCACTTCTGCCCTCGGACTCAACTTGAGTCCGGTACTTAAGACCGGACTTGAGTCTGGTACTTAAGACGGGACTCAAGTTGAGTTCGGGCACTCAGTTTTTGGGCCTAAGTGCTTGTGCTTCAGTGTGACTTGCTGCGACATAAGTGCTTGTGCTTCAGTGTGACTTGCTGCGACATTGTGTTCGGAATCCAAGACTGCGACTTTGCCCCTTTGTGTCTGTGACCACCGAGTCGTGTCGAGTCCGTGTCGAGTTGAGTGAGTGTGTGTGTGCTCTCATTCCCTCCCTCTCTCTCTTCCCCAGCCTCGCTGCTCTGCCTCAGCCCCGTCACAGGACATTCTATTCCGATGATGACGGTAGTTATCATTCAAGCGACGTCACCCGAAGAAAACGCCCGGCGGTCATTATCGCTGTATCTGGACTGAAAGTTCCACCAAATACATACAGCTATAATGACCAGACATTCTATTACGATGAAGAAGGGAGCTATCATTCAAGCGATACTTATGGGGTATAACTCGAGACAGAGCCATTCATCAAAAATATACACATATATATCGTCAAACAGATCTGACGGGTAAACTGTCGGCAGAGAGCGAGAAGATATATATATATATCGTCACAAACAGAACTGCCCGGTAAACCGTAGGCAGAGAGAGAGAAGAGGACAACAAACGAGGGGCTGTGACAAACTGTTTCATCGGAGTTTCATATATATATATCTATAGACTATATCTATATATTATATAATATATCTATATATTATATAATATATCTATATATTATATAATATATATCGTCACAAACAGAACTGCCCGGTAAACCGTAGGCAGAGAGAGAGAAGAGGACAACAAACGAGGGGCTGTGGCAAACTGTTTCGTCGGAGTTTATATATCATATTGTCACACTGGAAATCGGAGCGGAAAGATATATATATAGGGCAGTGGTTGGTGCCCACCTCAGGGTATCAGTTGTCGGGCAGTCGTTGATGCTTAACCACAGCCGGGGTTAAGGTGGATTATCACTTACAGTATACTAATCAGTTAGGGGATTCTGCAGTATACTAATCAGTTAGGGGATTCTGCAGACTGTTGAGGGTTCAGCCTCCTGATGAGTCGGTGAAACTGCGACGAAACAGTTTGCCACAGCCCCTCGTTTGTTGTCCTCTTCTCCCTCTGTGCCTACGGTTTACCGGGCAGCTCTGTTTGACTATATATATTGTCACACTGTGAATCGGAGCGCAAAGGCGGAAAAATGCAAAACAAGGAAGGGAAAGCAGAACAAGGGAAAGAAAAAGAGTCAGGAAGGCGGAAAAAGGCAAAACAAGGAAGGAAGGAAGGTAAGCCCCACCTTTTCAGCACCTCTTACGTACAAGGCCAGCCACGTGGATGTAGGTTGAGCGCTGGCTGCCCCCATCCCCGTGTGTCACAAGGACCCACTTGCACGCAGCCACAAGGCAAAGAGGTAAAGAAAAGGAGGAGGAAACCAAACCTGACAGGGAAAGAAAGATAATCCAATTGTCACAAAGCATATAACACATCCCACAGACCAACATATCTTTTCTTTTTTCTTTTTTTCTTTTTTTCTTTATTGTCACATGATATCCGAGCACCAAAGCGAAAAACAGAAACAAGAAAAACTTAATTCATTTTTAATCTTCTTCCTGACAACTCCCCCCCTGTTCAGAACCTCTTGCGTACAAGGCCGCCCACGTGGATCCAGGTTGAGCGGCGGCTGCCCCCACCCCCATGTGTCATATCGACCCACTTGCACACAGCCAAAAGGCAAAGAGGCAAAGAAGAGAGGAAGGGAGCAGCCAAATATAACAGAACAGGGGGCAACAAAACAGATCCCAGATGACAAGTCCCACATGCAAGCACCGCCCCAGTCCTACACAGGCCAAACGACGGGACAAGACCCACCAGGATGTCAAAACATTCTTGTCTGCAAAGAAATTAAAAAAAGTACCAAAAATAACCCATCCCCGATGACGATTCCCACATACAAGCATTGCCCCGCGCTCAAAAGGCCGAACAACGGGAAACAACCAACCAGGATGCCAAGACAATAAAA